ATTTTACACATTCCTATTTTACACATTCCTATTTTACACATTCCTATTTTACACATTCCTATTTTACACATTCCTATTTTACACATTCCTATCTTACTGAAGAGATGAAAAATTTTTTGGGCTCTCTTTTGGATGAATGGCATTTTATTTGTTAATAATAATAATAAATTATACACTAATAAAAATAAAGTATCGAATTGTGACAATTTTTACATCAAATTTCTTCGGTCATAATAAAGAACCTTGTATGCGAATTTTACATAGTAATACATAACAAAAAAATTAATCCCACTGTACACAAAAAATTATAAATTTGATTATATAATAATTAATAGATCAAAACGTAATATAATCAAAATCTAACTATTAATCATATACTTAAATAAAAAATGCTAAAGAATACAAAGTATTCCTCGGGAGTTGCAGCATTTACCGTAATAAGTTTTTTCTTTTTTTTTTTACAAATGAAAATGGTGTAGTAAGTTTCAAAGAAAATAGAAAAATAATGAATAATGTTTTTACTTACTAGAAGGCATACTACAAAACGTTGCTATTAATCGTATACTTAAATAAGAAATGCTAAAGAATACAGAGTATTCCTCGAAGTTGCAGCATTTACTGTAATAAGTTTTTTCTTTACAAATGAAAATGGCGTAGTAAGTTTTGAAGAAAATAGAAAAATAATGAATAATGTTTTTACTTACCAGAAGGCAACATTGAGGTGTCCAGTGTACTACTACACATAAAAAACATTAAACCTATTCTAACTTATCACCAGTGCATAATCGTTTTGCACATGGTCCCTTTGCTCAATGAGTTAGTTTGTGCTTGTAGTACCCGCGCAATGTGAGAGACCACCTTTTTGGCTTCTTTCATCAAAAATACAAGGGCACTCTTTTGAGTTATCTCTGCGTTGGGAGATTCTAGTGTTCCATTCCATCGGATAAAACGCCAATAATGACGATAACAAACATCGTTTGTTTGGATCGTTTTTGCTTGCCCAGCAGTGATTCCGCAGCACTGTGAATTTGTACTAGAGTTTGTGCAGTTGCTTTATTTGTGGTAACCTCATTGTGAAAAATATTCATATTCTCTAGGAGATTGTCTTCTAAATCATCATCGTTGAGCAAAGGGCCTAATTTGAACTTCTATTTCAAATACAGTATCGGCATTAATTCGATAGAGTCAAGTACATCATTACATATCTCCTTAGAAACTCCAGTCTCTATATGCTTTTTTTTTTTTACCTTTTATTTGTATTTTAAGGTCAAGATATCGTTCACCTTGATCGTTTAATCTGCTCTATCCATTAATTTATTGAACTGGAGTTCGTTTTCAATTTTTTTTCATCTGAATTAATTTTAGAAACAAAATAAAAATCGCAAGTTTGTAACTTCTCGAAGCTTTTATGAATAGTTTCCTAAAGCAAAACCAAAATAAGGCTATGTATGAAAGATTTATATTATAATACATGTACTTACCGCTGCTATCTGAAAAAGGGTACCTCACGACAAGCGGTGATATGTCCGTTGTCACTAGTTATGGGCAATCGGTTGTTTTTCTAAAAATCTCGCGCGTGATCCGCGGGATTGTTTTTTTTATATTTAAATTTACATGTACGGTAGCTATCCCACAAAAAATTTTACCTCCTCGTGATTTTTAACCAATTGGGATATTAAGGTTAGGGGTTAGGGTTATTTTAGATTAGGTTGATAATCATCGAAGGAAAAAAATTCAATGTCGCTTCGTTCGATATCTCGAAGTTCATTAAACTCTTTTTTACAGGGGGTAGAGGTCATCTAATTCTGGAACTTGCGTTATGTTATTTTTCAACTTAACAGCTTCCGATTTTCCCTAAAAGTAAGACCCACAATATTGATACAGAACTTTGAGACTAGTTATCGACGTTAAACATGTTTGCCAAAAAAATTTATTAAATAATGATTTCGAATCCAGAAATAGTCGATTTCAGATCTTAATATTATTTAATAATCGAATATCAGTAACCATAAATCATATGTATTTAAAATAATTATACTGTATTTCGCGAAAGTTTTAAGGTTAAATATTTCAGGCAAGCCTTTAATGAACGAAGTCACGAGGCATCCATTTGTCACAAGATCACATCCCAGATAGATCAGCGAGTAGTAAGTTGTCTGATAAATGGAATGACGGGTTGTAGTAAGTATAGTTTGATTGATAAGTGATGGTAAGTATGAAGTCATCGAAAATGACTATATAGTAGGGAAAATGGGATTTTGTTCTCCCTCTTTCGTCTTTGCTGCTAGCTCGACGCAAGTCTAGCTTTATTGCAAATACCCACCCACCCACTGCCGGGAAAGATTGAAGGAAGGATACATAGTTAGTATTGGTAGGTTTGATAGCCCGGGTGGACAACCTGGATATCAGAGTAGGTTTGATAGCCTGACCGGACAGGTTGGATGTCAAGAACATAACCAAGAATAGGTGAAGTAAAATGTCGATCCTAGAGAATGAGCGATATCCCATATAGTTATTTCGTAGTGTTTGAGCCGTGATAGGTGATCAAGTGACAAATTAATAGTTAATAAATTTTTTGAAAAAAGTCACTTTCAAGACATCGTAAAGCCTTTATTCAATTAAAATCTTTTAGTTGCAATACAGGCTTGTTTCTACTATAATGTAATTAAAAGGGTAAATGCATAAAAAAATTCTTATTGATATAGACGTTCTAATTTGACAGTGTAATTTCGTAGTATTAAATGCAAAAATAGAGAACATTTTATAGAAAAAAATAAATAAATTACATAATGATAATGCCATGTTGTTAGCATAAAATTACATATTTCTTTATTATCGAATTTATATTGCTTACAATTTTTAAAATTCTATTTCTACTTAGGTTGTTTTGAGATTTAAAATCCACTTAAATTGTATTTAGGAATTCAGAATCCACGGAATTCCGAACCCACCTACAACAAATATGTTTGATTTAGAATCAGACAAAATAGAATTGATAGAAACAAAATAAGTCAGACTTAGATTCTTTCTCATATTATCTAATATAAATGAATAATAAAATATTAATTAGCGCAAGTGATAGAATATGGCCGAATCAAAAGCTATTCATTATAATAATAGACTAACCGAGTATAATGCTATACTTGATGCAGCAATGTTAAACTTTAGGTTTTGCAAAAAAAAGGATAATTCAAAAATCATCTATGCTTATATTCTTGCACGTTGATAAATACATATTTTAACGTTAATTTGAATCAACTATTCAGTTAGGCGTAACGATAATAATTATTAAATAAACACAGTACTTAAAATGTATCATTACTATTACTGTTACGGGTGTTATAAATACAACAGCAAGAAAGTTAAGCGCAAAGAATTATATATCCAGAATTTTTGGATAAATATTAGATAAACATGATTTGGTTTTAATTGGTCATTTGTTTGCTGGGTCAAATTGATGTTAATGCTGGTAGAAATTGTGAATCGGCCAGCTTTAATACCTACATTGTAATAACTTACCATGTAAATTACGTTGTCAGTTAAATTTTAACAACTACTATTGTACTATCAGTGAATCGATTCATAATGCTAAATAAAAGTCAATTTTTAAATCACATATAATTTTTTTTGAGAGGACTAAGGATTTATTAATAATTTTATTATAACAATTATAATGAAAATGGTACAGCTAGTACAAATAAGGACTTTAAAAGTCTATCTTATGACTTTAGTAACAGTAAATCTACAGTCATCGGCATAACAAATTTTATAGAATTTGTTATCTTTATAAATTTGATGCAAGAAAATCTTGCGATCATAGTGAATATGAGTTCCCCAATGGTAGTGATATTTATTAATATATAATGGTTTTGTCCAATGGTAACGATATAATTGGTCTTGAACTTCTCCCAATTGAACTTTTGGTCCAATAACTTGGATTGAGTTGTGAAGGATGTTTGTAGAGGATTCCGAAGAGTCGGCATCAGCTTCAGTAGAAATTTCAGCAGATGGATCAACATTGGAGGATGCAGCGGGATCTAACTCCATCTCCCAAACGTCACCTGCTTCAGGTAGTGAATCTAAAGAAATTTCATCGACTTTTGGTTGAATTACGGTTGCGGCGACGAGATTGTAAATAATAGAGAGAAGAAAGAAGAGAGAAATGATGGTTTTTAAAGATGACATTGTAATTTATTCGATGAGATTCTCGAGAAAATTTTAAGCCATTAAATACTTTTTTTCTTTAAAGTTTGACTATAGTTCGACATTTTTAAATAACTATTATTTGGCGCGTCTTGATTCACGAATTTTGATTAATAAGGCGTTTTAATCAATCACTACTTCGCGACAATGACATGTGATAGACTATGATTATGTAGTCTGATAATACGTATGTATGTCATATGCTATTACATTTAGCAAGATTTATTATAATTTAACGTTAACAGTTAATGCTAAAAATAAACAAATACGTAAAATGTAATGCCAAATACTTACATTCCACGTATAAGTACATTGCCCGCGAAGCGGACAATAATAGAAAAATTGACTACAACTGATTTATTCCACGGTTTTTTATACTTCCATACTATTTTTATTTAATTAAAGGCAGCATAAAGTTCAGTTTATTGATCACGAGGCTCTTTCTTTTTTTTTTACCCGGCGACTTTTTGATATTTATGCTGTAAGTGGGAATGGAATTATAATAAATTCGGAATCCACTTAGATTAGACGGAATAATTATACTAAAAATCCCAACCCTAACTTTAAAATTCCGAATCAAATTAATTCTGGTTCCATTTACGATACTTATACAGTATCTAATCAAAGCATTATGTGACGGTAAGAAAAATTAATGAATATTAATTAAGGGAGTGAATTTTAGAAGTGCATAACAAGAAAAAGTTTGGGCAAACAGCATCACATGAAAAAGTGATTAGAATGGTCTGAATAGGCCCGAACCAATTAATACCCTACGCTTAGAGGAATTACCTACCCCTAATGAAAATTTATTTCGATACTCTAATTATTCATTGATTCCACTCTCTATGTTCTGCAACTAGCTTATTTTACATCATTTGTTGTGCTTCTTTTATCGATTCGAAATCGGTATAAATAGCATCGGAATTTTGATAAGAAATTTAATTTTTACTTAAGATATGAATTAAAATTAAAATTAATTAAATTTGTCAGCAATTTTTACTCATTTATTAAAGACTAACAGAGTCCAAAATACAGTATCCTTTTTTTTTTTTTATTAATCAAATTTTTTGAATAAGATCGAATACAAGGATCTTGAGATTTTACAAATGAAATTATGAATAGAATTGAGGTATTCTTGTTAAAATTGCATATCAGATATATAACTTAGAATGCAATTGAAATTCTTTTTAAGTGTGTGATAAGCATATACGCACAATCATTATCGATATAAAATGTAGTCGCAAATGTAAAAAAGGCAAAGGTGCTTGTAAAATAGTTGCTATCAAAATAATTTAAAAATCTAAATGCAGTGGCTCATAAGAACCTGAATTTAAAAGATTGCACTGAAATGCTTTACGATATTTCGTAAACTTAATGAATCTTCTATGGCTTCTCTGATACAAGGTATATTGGCTATAAAATTATCAAAAAAAATCGTATTTTTTCGCTGCAAATATTATATGTCGTAAGTAGGAACAGGATTTTCAATAATGGCCCGAGTTAAGTTTAATTTAGGCCGCAATTACGTATTTCACATTGAAGTGAAAATTGTTCCTGGGCCTTATTTTTTTGAAAAAATTAAAAGTTAATTCCGGCCGGAAATTAGTAAACAATTATGTAATGCGGGCCAAAATTTTGAAGATCCTCGGCCGTTAGCCAATCAAAATAGAGGATCTGTCGCGCATTTTTTGTGCACATTTATATGGTAACCGTTATATATTTTAATTGAATGTTTACTTGTAAAATTTATGTTTTATTTAAAATTTAATAAATTTAAAACTAGTGATAGAAACTCTCAGAATGTCTTGGTTAAATGAAATTTTTTGAACGTTAGTAATTTTTAATTGTATACATATGAAATTGAAAGTTTTGATTTTTCAAATTTTGGTTTATTTATTATATGTATCATCATTTAAAAATTGAGAATTGGTTTCATTTTCATTTTTGATACTACAGTATCAAGCCAATTCTTCAGAATTAATTTCATCAACAGTGGGTCGTCTTTTTAGATCAAAATCTATACACTGTCTTGTTAATTCTACATAATTATCAGAGGAAAATTCTGGTCGCAATCCTGCATGAAGTTTTAATGCAAGATGGATATCAAATTCATAACCATCAAAAACTCTTTGTCCAGTTGATATTTCCGACATTGATAACTCCTAAACTGCAAATGTCGACCTTTTGTGTGAATTCCTTTTTTTGATAAAACTTCGGGAGCCATGTATGGCATAACTTCTTTAATTTCGTTTGATTGTAAAGCAATGCATTATAGATTACCCTAAGCCTTCAATATATGCGCTAGTTATATCATCTTGTAAAATATTACCATTATATAAATCTCGATGAATAAGATTTTGAGAATGAATTGTTTAAAGATCAATAGAGGTCCAATCTGTCATCCATTTATCCATATCTGAATTTATCCGGATATCCATTTACTATTGGTATCCGGATAATCCGACAAATATTCGGATATCAATATTAAAACGGATGTCCGAATAAATTAAGATCTGGATATCCGATAGAAAATGGATAGGAACTCCAAGTTCATCAATTAAAATATTAATTTGAATAATGAACAGAGGGAATTTGGACTAACCAACCAATTAATATGTAAATTCGACATTAGTTTTAATAAAAAATGTTTTCTAATTCTAATATTGGTTGATGCTGAAATTTGGAGGTAACATAGTGGTAGCAGAAAAAATTCACGATCAGATGATCGTGACCCAATCAATGATTAATAAACCTACACAGACTGTCTAAATTGCATAAATTTTTATATGTTGCGGGTTCAGAACGATCAAAAATCACCTGATCGTGAATTTTTTTTGCCATCACTATGTTACCTAAATTAGGGGGCTCGGTTTAAAAACATAATCCCTGCTAAAATTCACCTATACTCTTTAAATACTGTATCAAATATAACCCTAAACCCTAACCTAACCTAAGAAACACCTCAAAAAACATTTTAAAATTTCATATAAAAAAATATGTCCAAATTTCAGCATCAGCTGCGACAATCATTTAAATTGAGAAATACAAAAATCTCCTTAACAATCACAACTGTCAAATACAATTGCGCAGTGCTTTCAACTCTTTCAACCATTTCAAACGATAAACGACTTTACTTTCGGTTGAATGAGATCTTCGCATACGCGCTATTTGATCACGCAAAAATGGTTGCCATATCAATTTTCAAAGTACACCAGTTCACTTTAGGGTCATAACATATTGTTGATCTTTAACTGGCGCAAATGAGGTGGGTTACATTTCCAACAACCATTTTCTTACAGTTAAACTTTGCCTTATTTAATGTTAGTCTGATTTAGAGCTAGGGTAATCTAATTTAAAATAGTGTTGATTAGAATTAAAAAGCCAGCTAAATAACTTTCAGTAAATCTAGTTTTGAACTAAACACTGAAACCACACGCTATCTAAATATTCAAAGTGTCTCACCAGATACATTTCTATATTTTCGAGTTTATTTTACGTACTGAACTCTGATATGTACTTATGAGAGGAAAAGTTGACTCTAACTGCTGATGAAAACTATTCATAAGGTACTTATGAACGAAATATTATGTATCTGGTATATAAACTTTGAATGAGGATTTTTTTGAGGCTCTTTTGCGGTTATTATGCTTGCTATTATTTAAGATTAATATTTATCCTTTGGAATCTTTTAGCATTCTCTGAAACTTTATATCATAATCGTATGCCACTGCTTATATTATCCTCCCAAAAATAATACCCATGATTAAGACCGGGCATTACTCACCATCGCTACCCAACCTATTTCTTGAATAAGACTTGAGGTATAACTATAATTGATTACTACTTTTAATATGAAATATCCCTAAATATATATCATCAGTACTAGAGTTGGGTAACGAAACCCGAAACTATATATAAAATCCCGAAACCCTTTCCGAAACCCCGAAACCTTTTCCGAAACTTTATACTATACTAAAAGGGTTAGACTTTTAATTTTAGACTTTAAGACCTAAAGTACATGATAATTAGATTGCATTTCAGAATGTTTTGGTTACTTTATAGTAAATGTGCATTAGTTATTAACATTCTAATTTTAAGGTTTCGGGTTTCGGTGCCCAACTCTAATCAGTACTATTCAATTTTAAAAATGGAATTCTCGAATAAGACCCCGGTACTATAGGCGTGGCGTACATAAATAGTTTGTTTTATAGTCTCGAATGAGATTTCAATAGCTATCTTTTCAGAAAATCATATCTTTGGGATTGTGGCTTGCAATGGAATTTTATTTATTATTTCACTTTTTATTGTTAAAATTTTTTACAGTCAGACGTCAAATGCAGCATCTCTCTGAACGCATGATGAAAGGCTAGCCCCACAACGGGACTTATAGATAAATGCACGTTCTATATTCTGTAAGTGCACGCTAATTGTTTGACCCGTTTATAAAAACTCCCTCTATAAATGCATCCACGTGATTACTAACCAATCAAAAATTTATTATTTCTAGGCTACTTAAGTCATGTTTATCACGTGATAATACTTATGATTTTATTAGTGTTCTCTAATTGCAACCTTCTCTAAATGCACGCTCTAGAACTGGTCCCGATGACTTGCATTTAGGGAGGTCTGGCTATATTTTGTTTATTATGAATATCCTATGCATTGCAGCATTGTTTTTATATCATGTAGGGTAAAACTATATTCATTTATTATGTGGGACACAGTTATTTATTGCATAAGGTGTGGGAGCAGTGTAGGGCTAGAATTAAACAGGTAGAGAATAGGATATAGTTATAAATTATCACGTAGAGCAAACTATATGATAATAATAAAGAAAGTAGGGATATTAATGGTCTGGTACAGTTTGGTCTATTTTGGTCTAGTCTTAAGAGTTAATTTGACCAGACTGATCCAGACCGGTCTGGTCTTAAGATTAAGTTCAGGCCAATTTTTTTCAGGTTCGAAACGGTCTTAAGAATAACTGCGATCTATTGGTCTAAGGCCAGACCACATAACATCCCTAAAAGAAAGGTTAAAGCATTTGTAATTCTCTCCTATACAGTCTTTCAGTTTTTCACATATTAGAAGGTATAAAAGGATCTTCTGGGCCCTTGAAGGGAGGAAAGGTACATAAATAAATAAATAATCTCTTAGTGTAAAGTGATAATTCTTGCCAAACATTATATTTAGTATGTTAAAATTCGTAATATAACGCTGTTCCTTGTAAACCCGGTGCCTCTAAATTTGCATCTCTAATCCTCTCTCCTTAAAATTGTTATAATTCTCACGATGCTATTGTTAGTTACACATTTAACATAAATAAGCAGTATAAATCATTAACTAAGCCTGCAAGAATAAAGTCTTTAAATAGTTTACTAAGGATAAGATGCTTCGAAACAAGCTTATATAATATAGAATTGCTTAAATAATTTCTGTACATAATTTAGTTGTTGATAAGGTTATTCATCTAATCTAATCTGTGACTAATCAATCATGAGAAAGGTACGTACATGAGGTGGGGTATCTGATATGGTAATATTCACTTTTTTTTTTTTTTTATCAACATTAGCCTCCGAAAATAAGTATGTACCCCAAAAATCATATACACCCGAAATAAGCATTCTTATATATTAGAAAACAAGCAACTAAATGTCATCAGATCAAAATAAGGATCTCTATAATAAAAAAACAAGGTGCTTATTTTTGGAAAAAGTAAAAAAAAAAAAAATTTGCATTACCTCTTTAAACAAATAAATGTACACAAATAAAAATGCATTTATTAACATGTTTTTAACATAATGCTTTTTTTGTTTTTTTTTTTATATATGCTTTAGTATATTAATATAAAAAGCCAGTCACTAAATAAATAATTTTTAAGAAAAAAGTAAAAAAAAAGAGGAACGTTGCGTTAAAAAAAAACATATTAGGGAAAATCTAATAAATGTAGTTTTATTTGTATATATTTACAAGTTCAAAAATATAACTATTTTGAATTTTATATATTTTTATTATTTATCCAATTGCTAATTAATAAAATTACTAATTAATAATCATCACTATTATCTGCACTATGCTTGTATAAACATCCAATAAGTTATAGTAAAGAAAATCTACTTTGCAAAGTTTTGCACTTAATAGTATTTTACTGTATTAATAAAAAAATAAATTTAAAAAATAAATTTAGATTTTAATTATTTTTATCACCAATATATAATACAACTTTATGAGTTTGTACTATGCAAGTGTATTGCGGTTAAAATTTTGGCTTGATTGGATTAGTGTTTATAGTTGATCCTTATGACTTGACTAAATCGATATTTAAAATTCGGCTTAGTCGGCCAAGTCAGAGTCGATTACCTTGAGAATTATTAAATTTTTGTCTCGACCTTGCTCGTCCTTTATGTTCGTTGATTTTCTCTTCGAAATTTTCGGCTCTTACTCTCAGTACTATGTACTAAGAGAGGTAATGTATGAATCTGATTAGTACAGTACTTTAATTTAATCTAACATAAAATCGTCTATGCGAAATCGACTACAAACACTAGATTGGATTAGTAATTCTTGAGATATAAATTTTTGAAGGTAATAATTAATATTATATTATATAAATTTTGTGCAAAATTTATTATAATACAATAATTAGGGGTCTACAAATCCCATGCCTGTGTCTATAGGCACTAGCATCAAAAATTTAAGTAAAACCGATATCGAATTACAGTTGCTCGTAAATTCTGGGACAACGGTTCGGCCGAATTCAATAATCTTCAGAATATTCGATATATAAAAAAGCATAATGTCGATGATATTAGAATAATTTTTATATAGCATGTTAATATGTTGCAGATCAAAGTATTTAATAATAACAAAATTTATTGGTCATAACAAAAAATTACATTCAACATACAGTATGGCAACATTATTTTTTATCTGTTCGAAATCCTCTGTACACAAATTTTCATACAGTAAATCTTGTTTAATATCACTTATTTCTCATTAAAGAAATAAATGGGTTTGTTTTTTTGTTTATTTTAACGAACAGAAAGATGAAAATTTTTTCTCATTATTATGTAAGCAAGAGTGATTTGACGCTTATAAATCTGTTTACATCAAGAAGTATACTCAATTTATTTAGTCTATGTAGAAATTTTAGTAAAAACTATTCTAAATAAGCTTATTTGAAATATCACATTTGGTCAGTAACTGTAACAATTTGTATGGAGCTAACTAACTTGAATCCCATCCTAATATAAACTATAAGATAAAATTAGAGCTCTTACCCGGGTCAACGGGTCAACGGGTCAAACGGAAATTCATAAAGTTTTTGAAGTTAATCCTTAAAAGTTGATGCAACGATACTTAATTAGAGCTGTTAGTATAGAGAACAGCTGTACTCCAATTATTTAAATTGAAATTCTTCGAAAAAATTTTAGTTCTCCCATTTTCTACACTGGGATACAAGAAGCTGATTAGATAACCCGGGTAAGAGCTTTACTATTTAGTAAACTATAATGTCTTCTACCTATATAGTAAATTGTGCAATTTAGTGTTTTAGTAGGTTTTTGCCTACGTACTTTAAATTCTGACCCGGGTTAGAGCAATTTTCGACCCGTGACCCGTATGGGTAACCGACTCACAGTTCTGAAAACCATCTGGAGACAGAACATCAAAATTATCTAATTGGATTAAGAAACAATTTGACTCTAAAAACTACTAATTCAAAAATCTATTGTATTAATAATTAATATGTGATAACGGGTAACGCAGGTGACCTATTTGTTATATTGCAGTAAACTGGTTTGTTAAAAAATGATCCGGTTGATAACTTTTCAGGTCAGTTATCAGTTAGACAGTTATCCCTTAATAAAGTCTATCACTATTAATTATTAATTCTATCTATGATCTACATACTCCATTATGAAAATAGAAGTTTCTTTAATATATTTCAAATAAGCTATACTCTTTAAAATCATTGTGTATAATTGCGGAATCGGAAATCATACGATTAGATTTGATTAAAGGTATATACTTGCAAATATGCATAAAATAAACTATTAGGGGGTTTCAAAGTTAACAAATAAGTGACGCATTTCGAAAATAAATAGGATTTTTTCAATAGTATTTTTACTATGTTGAATTATAAATCGGAAAAATAACTGATTTTAACTTTGAAACCCCCTATTCAAATGAATTAATATCTGTCATTATCATTTTATTTCATTTAGGAATGTTAATCGGTCTTTGAGATCTTTTCAAGGACAATCAGGATTCGGTCCTTAAATCACAAGCATCACATGAAAACGTAAAACGTTTATATAACCCGGATCGAATTGATTTAACAATAACAGTACGTATAATTTAAATGAATGGACTTACTTATTCGGAGAATCCAATTTAAGATGAACGATCTACGAACAGTCGGGGTTCTAATAAAAATCAATACAGACTATATGCATAGATCAACAAATATTATGTAGTATTAACTTTTATATAAATGCCGTCAAAAGAAAACCTGTCATCGGATTTGTTACAGTTAGCCATCTATGGAAAATTTATCATCTTGAATTCTCCGTGTCTATGGACAACAGTAAGGCGGTGCAAATTCACATGATGTTGTTTGATATCCCAAATGTCCTAACTAACCACACACGTGAATTTGCACTGTGCCCTAAACACTGTTCGTTGGGGTTCTGCATGTCAAGGGAAAACCTGTCATCGGAATTTCAATTATATTTTGTGTACAATTAGCCGTCTATGGAAAACCTATCAAGATATTATATGGCTCAAATCCTATTTAAAAGATCACATGTTTTTATGCGATTTAGGACTGACATCTGAGACAGCATATTTTGTTTTGGCAGGCCGGGCCTATATCCGACCCGCTTACTGGGGTTTCGCCGAGCTTGGCCTTATTTTGGGTCTAGAAATTAGGGGTCGATCCGACCCGGCCCATTCGTACCCTGTAATAGTAGGTTAAGATACCCCTATTAAGTTATGAGTCTATTAAAATTTTTTTTTAAAAAAGCTTTTTAACTTCAGTATATCAAAAATTTAATTTTCGAATTTTCTATTGAAAGTGAAATCCATAGGCAATGTTGTGAATGGAATCGGAATTTGAAATTTTCTAATTAAGGTTGGAAATTATAAATCCACTTAAACTCTATTCCAACTTACAACATATATATGAGTCGATTTGATTGGTTGTTAATACTTATTATAGCTTTCAAAAGTGTAAGCAGATGCAAACTATTATATTATTAGTTTTCCTTATATTCGCGAAATAGGAAGTAAGGAAAATCATGAGATATAAAGGTTTGCACCTGTTACACATATTTGAAAACCAGTTATAAATTGGTTAATCATATAAACATCTTAGAAATATCATGATTTTAGTTTATCGATTATCAATTCATCATCAGAAATCCGAATGGAAAAAAAGATGGAAGTTAAAAATAATGTAATATATCTGCGATAAATAATTCGGTTTTCTAATACACTAATAAAAATGCTGCGTACTCTTTACAAGTATATTTATGAATATGTCTACTATTCTGCACTTCTCCGCTTAGGTTTGCATCGCAAGAAAAGATAAATGATTACAACTTTGTGACACAGTGGATCTTTCAATGACTTTTTTCGCTATAAATGGTTAATAATATATTAGCTAATCCGAACGGGAAGGTAAGTGCAAATATAGCAAAACCGCGTTTCGCAAATCTGAGATTGCCCGTATAAAAAGCATTAAATTAAAAATAAAAAAAATAAAAAAGGGGCGTTATGCAAATTCTGCGATTCAAGGCGGCACTGCTAACCGAATTATCACGTGACAGAAAAACGATAAAATATTTGGATGATGATCGTGAAAGAATTTGCACCAAACGATGCGCCACGTTGTATACCATTTTAGGGAATCACGTTGCTACCTTTCTACACCACAGTAGATGAATATGTTCTTATAAACATGTTTAAATATTACAAAGTTACATTATTTTTTATTCGTTGGGGATTTACAATTCAGCCATACGCCTCCAATTTTGGAATTTTATTTTAAATCGAGGTTTATTTTGTCTCACGTGAGTTATAAACACCGAATTCCTTGAAATTAATAATAACGTTAACTAATTCAAATTAATTAAATTACTCTGATAACGTAATCTTAAATCTGATATACTCTATCTTATCGTGAATATAAGCACTACTCTAATTAATAATGGTATATCGATATTAAAAAACTTACAGTGAAAATGATAGGCTTGAAAGGATTATCTTAAACTTGCAATAAGAGGGTATATAGTTTATTATCTGCCTTTTTGAGATAATCAATAGTTTTAAAAAAAATAATTGAGCAATTTAAGTGTATCAATCGGAAAATTGAAAATTAAATTAGATCTGAGAAACAGGGAAATTCATTGGAGTCATTGGACTATCTAATAACTGCGGATTCTGTTGATTTACGTAATACTAATTCGTTTTGTTATTGTTGCAACGTAACATCCATTTAAAATACATAACACAACCCCCCATTTATTTTGACGCAATATGCCACTTTGTTTTCCCCAAACTTTCAAAATCGTGCCGGCGTGTCTAAAAAATTGGGGTTGTAACGATCATGGAACGTTGTTTTATTAGTAAAGTTTTTATTAGTGTAACATATATAAAACGGATCAAAATGGTTTGTGCCGGTGTGCAAAGATTGATAAATAGTCAGTTAATTACTATCATTGCCACTTTTTTGCCAATATCATTTATTAAATTAGAAGGTAGGCACTTTTTTGAGTTCATTAATGATGTTTTTTGATAAATTTACCAACTTAGATTGTTGGTATAAAGATTTATAAAAACGTCTCAGTAACGTTATTTGTTGGTTCTTTTTGTTATTGTATATTTATGGAGCATGATGAAAGATCTTATTTTGATCGCGTTTTTTCTCAATTTCTTCAAAAATGTACTGGCCAAGAAAGATAATTAAAGCATCGCCAATTGATCCATAATTTATTTGCATGTAGCAAATACACTTATATAAATCTCTGCTAAAGAAATCTTTATCAACAATGGACAAAATCCTTGGCTTTTTCAAACATCAAGATAAAAAACCCGAAGACCATCATGCATATATTAAAGATCACGTTTTCAAAATTCATGAAACGAATGACAACAAAGAAAAACTTAAAATCCTTAAAAAAATTAGACGTTATTTAGAATTGTTCAAAGATGAATGGACAACCCCAAGACCTGTAAAAAAACGTATGCACATTACATTACCTAGTCAAACCAAGATTGAATACCCTACAGATGAAGCTGAGATTCAGAGAACCATAAAAGAAGCGTATGAAGATGGTAATACTATTGTTAGAGTCATTGGATCTGGGCATTCGGTTCCCGAAGCAATACTTGATGTTTCAGATATCTCTGGGAAAAAGAAGGTATGTTGATTTTTTTTTAACATTGTCAATTGAAATTATCGAATTGAAATTTATTGGAATATTAGACTACACAATTCGAATGGGTTCAATTAAAAAATATTATACTCTCATACAATATGAAATTTTTTAAAAATTGGAAATTTGAAAAATTGAACGAAGATATAACCATCTAACCAAAATTCAATCAGAATGTTAGTTTTAATTCTATATATTCATAGGATTAAACCAAAATTTTATTGAATTTGGTTAAGTAGCTATCAAGATATCTTCTACAATTTCTACTTGATTGATGTAAAAATAGGAAATTTTTTATTAATTTGGTTAGGCGGTTGCCAATTTTTAAAATCCTTACGCATATATTTCTACGATTTCCTAGCCAAGACGTTTCTACTTTGACCTTATAAACATGTAAAAAAAATTTTTTCGAAATATATTCATTTAAAATTTTATCAAGATTTATTAAATAGAAGTAACGACAATTTTTATAACTTTTAACATGATATCTCGAAAATCACTTGCCTAAAGTCGATAAAGGTTTTTTTGTTATCAAATTTGGTTAGGCGATTGTCGAGATATTTTCAGATAAAAGTATAATTCCTGATTGGTCGGTGATACTGATCCATCAAGGTCGGTATTTTTGCTTTTCAAAGGTTTAAAAATTTTTTCGCAGCTTCCATTTATTAAATATTGATATTACAGGTCAAATAATGTGATTGGATATAATGAAACGCACGTGATGCTGTAATATTTTATTCGGGCATACAAAATAACGCAGTTGTCTTAATATAAAAAGTCAATAACTCAAGTTATTCGGCAGTCTACGACTGCCAAAAAAACTTGAGTTAATTTTTTATATTAAAAACAACTGCAAGTCATTTTGTATGCCCTATCGTCATAGGATACCGGATAATACCGTTATTGAATGCCAACCGAAGTACCAATAACTTTCGTATCTGGCAGTAAAATTTAATATTCCAGCCTCTGGTATATTAAAAATACAGCCAGATACTCGAATTATTTTTCTGGACAAATGATTATCATGCGATCCTACGGATCACATGAAATCATTTATCCAGGAAAATAATTCTCGTTATTGGATGCGAAGCATCCAATAACTCAATATTATTTTGTTAATAGAATCCCATAACCCAATATTCCAATAAATATTTGGACTAATTGAAATGGTTCAAAAATAAGATCCAATTCAATTATTCCATAAGTCAATTACTTTATTACTTTATTCTAATCTCACTGCAAATTTTCAATAGATAAGGTTTTTATGTTTAGAAAAATATCACGGTGTAGAAATTGATTATAAAAATCACACTGCCACTGTTAAAGCCGGCACACATCTTAATCAGGATCCAGAAGATATTGAAAATTCTACACTTCAGAACAGTTTTAATTATATTATAGATCAGGCAGGATATGCCCTTCCTGATCTTGGTGGTATCGCTCATCAAACCGTTGGTGGTTTTATTTCTACAGGATCAGCCGGTGGCTCTATAATCCATAATGTTCATGATTCAATCATTAAACTTCGTATTATAGATGGTAAAGGAGATATTTATGACCTTTCAATTGATGATGAAGATAACTCTAAGTTCCTCGCTGCAGGTGTTTCTCTAGGTCTCCTTGGAATTATTACCAAGGTTACCTTCAAACTTATGAAAAATTATTATATTACTGGCAACCAAATAATTGCACCGATTACTCCGTTATCAAACGACTTCAAAGTTGGCTGTCCAATTGATTTACTTGGTGATGGTGATAAAGAACAAAAAATTCCAAATATTTACGAATTTTTTACAAACAGTAAAGAATATGAAGCTGATTATGCCCGAATTTTCTGGTGGCCTCAAGAAGGTGTCAACCGATTGACAATCTGGAGAGCTAAACCTATTCCTATTCCAAGTATAGATGAAAAATCATTATCTATTAAACCATACAATGAGTTTCCTGTTTTTGCCGGATCAGAGATTCCTGCTCAGTTAGTTGCTAGTTTGGTGATGATAGCTTTGAACTTATTCTCATCGGAGAATAGATTTTATAAAAGGATTGCCGCTTACTTAATAAATTTATTTAACCCAATTGGAATTCAAGAGTTTCAAGATAAATGGTACAATGGACTACCTATGGATGATAAGGTAATTAACATATTCTTCCTTTTCCTTTTCATCAAAAAATTCTTCATATTTTAGTTAAATAATTTTTTGTAAAATCTATTTACTTTGTTTATAAAATTTATATATAGGTTTCCGACACGATTTTTCCAGCAACTTTTAGTGAATTATTATTCCCTATTGAGAAAACCAATGGTAAAATGATTAACTATTTTTGGACATCCTTATATAGTTATTCATCTTACTCTTTCCACAACTAATTTTAACATATTTATCTTTACAGATATCGTACATACTTTAAATAATTTATACAAAACTGGTGGTGAAAAAGTAATAGGAAACTTTACAACTGAACTCTATACTACTAAAAAATCACATTTCTGGCTGTCTCAATCATATAATACTGATAGTATACGAATTGATATTCAATA